CCAACGGCACAATGGGAGTCTGTTCTACTCGACGCCTTGCATTCCATCAGATCTTTGCTCTGTACTGCAACGAACGCCACGCCACACGAACGACTGTTTACCTATAACCGAAGATCGACATCTGGGACAACTCTTCCTACTTGGCTCACTGTACCAGGACCAGTACTTCTCCGGCGGAGTGTTCGTCAGTCCAAATTCGATCCCCTGGTTGAAGAGGTGGAGCTATTGAATTGTAACCCGCAATTCGCTCACGTTCGCTTCGGTAATGGACGTGAAGATACAGTTGCTCTTCATCATCTGGCACCCAAAGGCGAAGATATAGATCAAGTTGAAAATTCAATACCGGAGGGCGACGCAATTCCTGAGCAACAAGTAAATGGGGATGCGACCACTGATCCTAATATTCTTCGTGAAGAAAATACAACTGAAACGAACAACGGGCGTATTCTTTTGGAAAAACAACAACGTGTACGGCCTTACAATTTGCGTACCAGAGAAGCGTGACATAATGGCTCATTCCTTTTCAAGCCGCAGTGAATGTTGTGAACTTTTCTTATCTGTCTGTTTTCGGCATAGAACTTTGCACAAATGTGCACCAGTTCAAGTCGCCACACTCCGTGTAGAACGCGAAGCAAGAGAAGAATGTACAAGAAAAGCATAATAGAGACAGTGAGCAGAGGTGTGAGACAAAGGAAGAGTGATAACGAAGAACAAAACAGTTTCATTGGAGATCATAAGTCACAAGGAGTGGTGGATGCATCTGCGCTAGCCACTGAGAACGATGAGTTTGAGCCATGTCACCAATTGTTTCCAGCCCCCATTGGTTTTTACCGTCCCGAGGACCCAAGCCTGGAAGTCTACACCTTCCTACGTGACTGGCTTAGACCAACTGTTGTGGATTTCATTGACTGATGCCATGTTTTTGTTTGACCGCCGCTAGCTTTTTTCCAGCCTGACCCTATATCCGCTAACATTGCTTGTCGAGGGAGGCGATGGCTTGGCATACGTAACACATGTCCTAACCATCTCAGTCTTTGTAGCTTCACGACTTCGTCGATTGATTTCCCCTGTTTACCTAGAACTCGACTCCTAACCTCTATGTTGCTCACCTTATTATGCCACTTTACACGGGAAATAGAACGCAGGCACCTATGATCAAAGACAGCCAGCCAGGCTTTTCATGTCTTCCACTCTCAGTGGCCAGGTCTCACAACCATAAAGGAGGACGGAGCGGACTGATGAGCAGTACACCCACCCTTTGGTCGATAGTCGAACATCTCGTCTACGCCAGAGTCGGCGTAAACTGGCAAATGCGAAATGAGCCCCCTGTATTCGTGCTGAGATTTCGTCAGAGATCAACCCGTTGGCGTTGGCTGATGGTACTTCCGAAATAAGTGAAGCGGTCAACGTGCTCTACCACTTCACTTCCTATTTCTAAACTAGGAGTTAGTCAGTGTAGTCCAGTCCTGTAACATCATCTTGCATTTGGCGGGAGTGAATCGCATGCCAAACATTCGTAGATTGCGGCTCAAGGTGTTTAGAAGACTCTGCATTTCGTCAGCGTCTTCGCCTAGAAGGACTATATCGTCTGCATATTCCAAGTCAACGAGATTATCCCCTGGCAGCAAGTCAATCCCTGAGTCGCTGAAGTCACCTAGGGTTAAGTCCATTAACACATCTATGATGAAGTTGAATAGAAAAGGAGATAATGGGCATCCTTGACGGACACCACTGGTCGTCATCAGTTCAGATGACAGCTCGCCGTAAGCCCTCACCTGGCTGTATGAGTACGTATCTTATAATACGTATCTAGTCATATTCATATCTCTACCGCTATTAACACTCTTTTTTTCCTTTATATGTTTAAGCCATTCCGGCTTCATTGTAAAATGAATAAAGCCTAAATTCTTGGTTCATTCGTCTTTTCAAGATTCAAGCATCACTCATCGTTCTAAGACTCAATCACCTTCGTAACAGTACAGTTGCTTACAAAACTACAGAATGGTTGAATTACCTTGAATCATTAACACTAAGCCCAGTTTGAACATTTTACACCACCTAACACAAACAACTAAACACTAAGAATCGTCCGACGATGGTTACGTAAGCCAAAAAAAAACGATAGAGGAGTACACGCGTTCATTAAAAACATTGAAGATATTTGTCATGACTGATAATGAAAACCTTTACAGCTTACACAATCTATCTAACTCATAGAAGAAGATAAAATTATTCCGATAAAGAATGGAAGACGAAATTTACACTAGTATAAAATGATATCGTTCTTCTTTTTCACAAGTTCTCATCAGCTGCTGCAAACCACTACCACTATATAGATGATGATAATAACATACTTTAATGTTTAAGTGGTAGTAGAGAAGAGATACTATAAAACTGACTCATTCAAAATGAGACCCATCCAGACATCAAATTCACCATGGAATATGAACATAATAATGAGTTAAATTTCCTGGATCTAAATGTAAAAAGAACAAACGAAGACACGATCGAAAAGTCCATTTATAGAAAAGAATCCTGTACTGGACAATATCTTCACCATAACAGATTTTTTCCCATAAGCTATAAACGTGGATTAGTGAGGACTTTGTACGACAGAGTCAGGAGGCTATGTTAACCAAACAAGATCGAAGAATTAGATTTCGTCGAGAAATGCCTAAGAGAAAATGGATACCCTAAAAGATTTATACAGAAGTATAGCAGAGAAAAAGACAACAAAGAAAAACTGTTTATTTGTCTCTCAAAACTGGATAAATACGCTGTTGATGTCACCTCCATCTGCGTTTATGAATTTACGTGCACTTTTGGAAGCAAGTACAATGGAAGGATGGGAAGAAGGGCTTCTAACCGGTTTTCTGTACATATTCCAAGAAACCTGTATCTGAAAAGAAGCAAATAATCTCAGAGTGCAATTACCAGACATATTATTGATACTGGATATCTCGTAGAGATTTATAAGTCCTTTGCCGAAGCGATCGCAATCAAACGATTTAAACCAGACTTATGCATACAGAAAGAGAGCATAATTGACCTCTCACTCCCTTGGTGACTGAATTTTGATTACATTAATTAGTCATCTAATTCAGTAGTGATCTCAACTCACTGAGCAAATCTTAATCTCCTAAACTGTAACCGCTTTTGATTTTTGAGTTGCTATGTGAACCTGTGGTGAGAGCTGGCTGTTAGCCAAAACTGGTGGACAGTAATTTACGTCAATGCTTAAGTCCCCAATATTGGTCGTGAGAAAATTGAGAAGAAAGGTTTTGCGTAGGCGGATACAGTTAACATATAGATGATGATCTGACATTCAAGAAACAGCCACAAAGAGATGCAAGGTTAACTTTCTGTGAGAAACAACCAATCAGAAGGCTGTGCTTTTCTGCTAACAATAATCTATAATAATGTACATGAAAATCTTTAAATATGCGTTGATTTCCTTAATAAACGATATGTTGCCTGGCCCTTGTCTTCTGTTGTTACAAACCTACGAACTAACAATTTTCTCCTAATTAATTTTTTCTGTTTTCTGTCTTGCCCCTTCCCCCTCTTTTCTACTGTGAAAGCGTATAAATTAATGATGAAAACTTAAACTGAAAGTTGCAACAGTCGCATTTTGAATGCATCAGTTTTATAGTATCTCTTCTCTACTCCCACCACATAAACATTAAAGTATGTTATAATTATCATCACCTATATAACCATTGTAATTTCAAGTAGTGGTTTGCAGCAGCTGATGAGAACCTGTGAAATAAAATGACGGTATCATTTTATACTACTGCGAATTTCGTATTCCTTTCTTTATCCAAATTTATCAAGGGAACCAAATGTTTGTCTGTCTGTCTCCAACATAGAACTTCGCATATATGTGCGACAGTTCAAGTCGCCACACTCTGTGTAGCACGCGAAGCAAGAGAAGAATGTACAAGAAAAGCATAATAGAGACAGTGAGCAGAGGTGTGAGACAAAGGAAGAGTAATAACGAAGAACAAAACAGTTTCATTGGAGATCATAAGTCACAAGGAGTGGCGGATGCATCTGCGCTAGCCACTGAGAACGATGAGTTTGAGCCATGTCACCAATTGTTTCCAACCATTGGTTTTTACCTTCCCAAATACCCCAACCAGGAAGTCTACACTGTCCTACGTGGCCGGCTTAAACTAACTGTTGTAGATTTCATTGACTGGTGAAGCCATGTTTTGGTTTGACCGCCACTAACTCTATTCCAGCCTGACCCTATGTCAGCTAACATTGCTCGTCGAGGAAGACGATGACTGGGCATGCGTAATACATTTATTCCCTCGTAGCAAGTCAATCCCTGAGTCGCTGAAGTCACTTAGGGTTAAGTCCATTAGTAAATCTATGATGAGATTGAACAGAAAAGGGGATAATGGGCATCCTTTACGGACACCACTAGTCGTCACCACTTCAGATGACAACTCGCCGTAAGCCCTCACCTGGCTGCATGAGTACGAATAGAGTGCCTTAATCAGTGCAATATATTTTCTCGGAATTCCCTTTACAGCCAAGCATCGCCAGTATCGAATGCCGCCTTTAGGTGAAATATAATGATTGTTGGACGCCAGTAGGAATTCCTATGTTCTAGAATCTGTCGAAAGGTGAAGATATGATCAATACACCCTCTTCCTGGTCTAAAGTCTGCCTGGCTCTCTCTCGTGTTTGTGCCACCCGAGCACCACTTAGTCTACGCATGACTATTGAGCCTTAGACTTTAGATACTATATTAGTCAAGCTAATCCCTCTGTAATTATCACAGGAAGACTTGTCTCCCTTCTTGTATATGGGGATAATCAGTGACTTACACCAACCCGACGGGACTTCTTCTGATTCCCAGACGCTGTCTAGAACCTCAGTTAATGCACCGTACTTAAATACCTCTGGAGTGATTCCATCAGGTCCCGCTGCTTTGCATTGTTTCAGATTAGTGACACCATTAGTAACCTCAGTTAAGGAAGGAGGACCAAATGTAGATGAGGATATTAAAACTTAGTCAGGCAAATTATATTTCTAAGAAAAAAAAGGGAATCAACTGTCAGAACAAGAAGCACCAGCATTATTCATTTTTATTTGGTGATGATAAAGTAAATAATCATAATAGTAATAATAGTAATAATATTAATCTAAGATATGTGATAATATGTTTGTTGGTTTATTTATTTATTTTTGGTTAGCTTTAGCGTTTTGTCGTCTCATCCAGACGGTTCTTCTTTATCCTCTTTAATTACGAATACGTGTGAGTAAGAGTCAGTGAGTGTGTGTGTGTATGATAATTGGAAGAAGAAATACAAAACAGACTATAGATAGGCAGATAGGTAGGTGGAGAGAGAGAGAGAGAATAGCAATCACAACAAACAGTGACAGTAACACTTTATAAATTAATAATACCACAAATAAAAGTGTATTATATGACTAATACTCACGAAGAAAATGATAAAACCAGGGGGAGCCGGGTGGGGGGGGTTGGAGAAGAAACAGGGAGGTAATATACAAGTACATACACCCACACATATGCCTAGAAAAGGAAACATTAAGACACATAGGGAAAAAGCTGAAATGGGAATGGGATATCATCATCAACATCGACAGGCACACACACACACAGACGGTTAAGCAAAGATCAACGATACAAAGTGAACAATTAAAGCAGACCTTTTTTATCCCTCTTCTTCTTCATTTCTCATATTACTCCAGTGGTAACACAAATTGAAGTTAAGGCGGCTAAAAGATGAGAATAGATCAAAGAGGGAATTTAACAGAACAACGAACTACGACTACTACTGTACCTGGCATAGCAAATATGTATGACTTGTCAATAGGCCGTGGTAGTAGCATTAGTAGTAGTAGTAGTAGTAGTAGTAGCAGGCATACACGCCTACGCACACCACCAGAAAGAACACACACACACATAGAAAGAAGAGGTATTATGAAACAGAAATATATAGAGAAGATATAGAGATCAGATAACTGCTCATATTGGCAATAAATCATTAATTTTTGTTTGTGTGTGTGTGTGTCCCTACCCAAAAATTCACACACACACACATTAGCGAATAAGAATAATAAAACAATGCTCTTACTAATAATGATAATAATAACAATAATAATAATAATAATGGAAAAAAGACCGGAAAAGTATGCAAAACACCCAAGGCTTTTACGAAAACTTATGCACCGGTGACGAATATAACCACAACACACTCACTGACCACGTCGACCGCGACCAATCAACCAACTAACTGACCAAGGCAGGGTCAGGCGACAAAAAAACAGACAAATATATAGACGAAATCCCATAAAACAAAAAATTGTGTGTGTGTGTGAGTGAGTGTTAGAACCTCAATTAATTTTACAACAACAGTAACAACAAAAAAACCGGAAGAAGAAGAGGAAGAAGCGTTTTAACGAACAGTTGAGAAAGGGAACACTATGCAAAGGAATAATAAGGGTAGTTCGATAAAGCAAAAACAAAAACAGCAATAACAAAAACAAGAATAGTACTACTACTCTTCCCCTTATTCTGCTGTTTATCGCTCTCTATTCTAAAGAAGGATTAAAAAGTCTAGAAATTTTCATTGATGAATAGGCAAATCAAATCAAATCACACCAAAAAAACGCAGCAAAAACAATGCACTAAACAGAACAGAACACGGGAAGGGTAAAATGAAATAAATGAAAAACAAGATTGAGAAGACATTTCACACATTTATTTTATTAGACAATGATACATTAGACAATGAACAAGGACACAGGAAGCGAGAAGAGAGATAGACAGACAGACAGGCAGACAGACAGACAGATAGGTAGGCAGACAGATGGAGGGGGAGGGAAATAGACGAATGGATTTTATTGGTATGTGCAAATAGAGTATATATAGTAACTTTAATGGGATACCAATGCATCTTCATAAAATGCTATTAACAGCATAATACAAAAGCCTAAGAGTATGCCAAGATTTTGCCATAAGAATAAAACACTCGGTTGATGACATCGTCGATCACCTTTCAATTGATTAGCGGATAGTTCAGGCATCTAAAAAGAAGGCAAATATATATATATATATATATATATATGTGAGAGAGAGAGACAGATAGAGAAATAAAACAGGAAAAAAATACGCCAAAACATACCACTCATGAATAGTATAGCCTTTTGTATGATGGTCAAGAAGTGACACGATGAAATCCTATAACCAATCAAATCCCTACAAACTAACACTTGATTGAATATCGATGAGATGGCTACTAGCGGCTTGCCCTATTCAGGTAGGTAGTTTTACCTGGGATTCTAGTGGGAAGTCGTGACCAGTAGGGTGCAGCAGGTCAGGTGTGAGAACAAATACTCGTTGAAGACATTGGCTGGGGTCACGCTATCTCGTGAATCGGCAGAGGTTAGAATTCATGAGCTGGCTGACCATTGGATCGGGTCCCAGTGGCTTAATGGTCTACGAGCTCGCTAGCCTTGTAACCAGAAGGTCCTGCCTGGGTTCGAATCCCGGTGGGTGCGTACTGATGAAGAGCCCCAAACTGGGACGGAGGAAACAGCTGTCCAGTACTCCCAGGTTTTTCAGTAGTTCTCTAACCAATGTCAACTCATAATGAAATCCCTACAGACCAACACTTGAAGTGACACGATGTTTTTTTTCAAGTATTGGTTTTTGTAGGGATTTTTTGTTTGATCGGTTGGAAAATTTCATCATGAGCTGACATCAGTTAGAAAATCATTGAAAAATCAACTGGGAGTACACTGGACAGCTCTGTTTCGTTACAACCGGCAGGGGTGCGTGCTAATGATGAGTTCCAAACTAGTGGGAATAAAAAAAAAACAGCTGTCCAGTGTACTCCCAGTTGGTTTTTCTAACTGATGTCAGCTCATGATGAAATCCTCCAACCGATTGACACGTTAATTGAAAATTAGCTATTCTGAAAAGTAGATCATGAAACACACACACACACACATGGCCAAGAGTTGCATCCATATCTGCTAACATGTAGTCTCCATTTATACACATATATATAGTTGCAATTCAAATGACGATGAACTAAGTGAAGGAACAATTATCAACAAGTTGAGAAGATCGATACGAAGAAGTCTTAATGTCAATCAATTGCAGCTTATACTTTTCTACACAACCCGTAGTCATCTCTTCTTTGTGTATCTATCAATTTAACAGGTCCTATTCAACCAACTATATTTTCCGTAGCTCTATAGAATCTTTCATTTCCTATGATCCGTAATACCTATCAGTGTAGCTAAATAGAGGTGTGGTAAAAACCATCAAAAGTTCAATATTAGATTACCTGTTGCAAACAAGCCATAAATCTAACACTAAAGAATCTTTTTCTATCATCTATCGGGTACGAAATAAACTTCCTGAAAGCCTCTAAGCACCGAATAATAGAAACAGCAGTGATCATTATAATTCGCTTGAAATAACCGCAACTCTAGGTGTAAAAGAAACAGGTTCTCAGCTGCTATTGCTATCCCGGCCTGTTGTGGGACCGATAAATTCTGTATTATTTTACTTAATTTATGTGATATTCAGTTTAGCCTTCGATTTCCAACCACTGACGCACTCCTAGATCTCGGTAAGTCGGTAAGTAAGGTCGATAAAAAGATAAGGTTGGGTGTGAGGCTAGTATCCTTACCCTCATAAATTCCTTTAAAAAAAAACCCACTGCTACCGAAACTACAGGGCTCTAGCTTTTGAAGTCCTATGTTCCAATCAGAACAGAAAAGGAATACAACAAAAATCAATCCTTTGAAACCTTACATTGCTGATAAATGATAGATATATACATCTCACACTTTGTGTGATACTTTTCTGCGTTTGCCCATATACAACAATAAAAAATAAACATTATCTTCAAATATTATGCGGGGTGGTTATTCCTCATAGACAACACTATTCTTTGATTATTAAGGCTAATTATTATTACAGAAGGGAATCCCCTGAAGATGTTTATTTGTTGACATTTACAAATGGACTTTCGACCTAAAAATGGCGGATTCAAATTTTACTCGACCAACTTCAGCTTAGACGACTGACTGCGTATCACCATCATCATCATAAAGCCTTCTTATACAAAAACTACAGTTCATAGCGTGCGTCGGTGGCATAGCAGTTAGGACGCTCGCCGACCATTCAAATGGCTCGAGGTTCGATCCCCGGCCACCGACACACTCCTTTACCTTGCTGAGCCAGAAATAATTCTGGTAAAGAGGAAAGGTTGGGCATGAGACAGGCTAGCAACCCCATCCTGTAAAAGTAATCATCACTGCAACAGAAACTTCAAGCCACTAGCTTGAAGCCCTATGATGCACTGGGGAACGTGAAGGAAAACAAATAGTTCATAGCACGCGGTACATGAGAAATCTATTCTGGCTAACTGATATCATCACTCAGACTGATTTTAATCGGTCTCTCTTTGTATACTTTGAGGAGAGCATTAAATGACATAGCGCGGCAGACCATCACACGAGTGGAACCACACTGAGAAACGAAGAATGTGTCGTCAGTGTCAGTGTGACATGGAAGAGATCGTGCGAGGGCGAAGTTAAACTTTAAGCACCTACCTCTGAGTACCATTGGAGTGCAACCGCACCAATGACCTTGAAACGCTCACTGAGCGAGTGTCAGTGAAACCTCGTAAATAACGTTGTCATCATCAATAAAATCTGTTCATCGAAGTGTTATGCTATTAAATGGGATTTCTAGCAACTTTCGGCCAAGGACAAGTCGGGGTTAGGTTAACCTAATAAAGGCAACATTAGAGTTGGTTCGAGTTACATTACAGTTTGCTCAGGGATATTTTCATGTTGGAGTTGGGTTCAGGAAAGATAAGGGTTATTGTTAGGTATATAAGACCTCAATATTTACATGCATAGAATGTGGTTAAATAACTCTGTTGACATAAGAATAGAACTTGCCCACTGTGATGGAGTACAATTCCATAGTGAGTGAAGTTTATTCTGATAAAGTCTCACAGTATTTTGATTTGACACTAGTAACTAGTGTGATGCGTCTAGTCCTCTGATTGGTGTAGACTGAATTCTATCAGTCAGTGTGTAATGTGACCACCATTCTAGCTAGCTGCCCATCACGGTGCACATTGATTTGATGGTGTTAGTCTACACCAATCAGAGGACTAGACGCATCACACTAGTTACTAGTGTCAAATCAAAATACCCACTACAGTCCTACAGGAGGTCAATCGCGGGCCCGAATAGCTCAGTGGTAACGTTTCTGATTGCAGCACTGGGTGACGCGGATTCGAATCTCAGAAGGGACATGAGTTCCTTCAAGGTTGCAGGTACGCCCTGCTGACTGGTGAGTGCCAACTAGCACGAAACCTAGGTCCAAGGCTTCCTGCCGATTGCCTCTAACCATCTAACACGTAGTTTTTTCTTGATTATACAATAACTCGTTGCTAACCCACTCAAAATGGAACCTAAAAAAGTTAAGCCTTCAAGAGTGATGTGGAACCAGCCAGCTAAGAAACAAAAACAAAATAGGTTGAAGAGAACAGAATAAAACGAAGCAGTAATCTTTTATTGCATAAATTCCCTCTCTTCCCATTTTGCTTTCTGTTAATTATTTCATGATAGTGTTATTGTATCATCTTATTATTTGTTGTGTAGATTTTCAAAGTGTAGAGAATAAGGTCACTAACAGAATAAAAAGAACAGGTTTCTTCTGTGTGTGTGTGTGTGTGTGAGTATGTTCTCACAAAATGTCATCTACGTCCGACCGCTCGCTCACTCGAACGCCCACCAACCCGCCTACATTACCTCTCTTTTTATTTAATACTTTAACATTTCTGCATAAATATCTTACGACTCCATAGTTATAATAAATGAGCAGTAGACGCGCCTACACAACCTTGAATACAATCCATACAATATATGTGCTATATTATACTATTACTGTATGATGACGACGTATAGTGTAATATAATCAGTGTTAAAATTGATAAAGTTTTATGCAATACAAAAAACAACTATTTACAAAAAAGATAACAATAAACACCAATGGAATTTACTGTACTCTCTATCTAGTTACCTTAATATCTAATTATTAGAGTATGAAAAGTAGCAATAATATTTAATAATGCGTGATTCACTTCAACTCAGAACTGACAGATAAACACGTTAACCCATAATAGATAACACACACGGGTAATTAACCATTTAAACGTATAAAATAACAATCGGTAATACAACTTTTCTCTGTGTGATTTTCACGTAGTACAAGAGTACAAGAGTAAACTGTTAGTTACTTTGATTGGACACTAGTAACTAGTGTGATGTATGTGTCTAGTCCTCTCTTTGGTCCAGTGGGCAAGAAGCCTTGGATCAAGCACGAAACCTAGGTCCAAGGCTTGTTGCCCATTGCCTCCAACCATCCATCTTACATCATGAAATCAATGTGCACCGTGATGATGAGTTACCTAGAAGAATGGTGGCCACATTACAAAACCTGACTGATAGAATTCAGTTTGGACCAAAGAAAGGAGGACTAGACGCATCCATCACACTAGGTACTAGTGTCCAATGAAAATACCCACTACAGTCCTACAGGAGGTCAGTCACGAGTCAGAACAGCTGCTCAGTGGTAACGTCTCTGACTGCAGCACTCCACTGGGTGACGCCGGTTCGAATCTCCGAGAGGTGGGACATGACTTGTTCCTTCAAGCTAGTTGCAGATACGCCTTGCTGACTGGTGAGTGCCAACTAGCACGAAACCCAAGTTGTAGACAAGGCTTCGTGTGGCCGATTGCCTCCAACTATCTAATATTATCAGAACTGTTAGTTAGTTAGTTAGAAGAAGATAATTCTTATATTCGGCTATTTTATTGACCTTCAAAAGAAGAAACAACAAAAAGGAAGAAAGAAACGAACAGAAGCTTCTGTGTCGATAGCACAGCGGTTATGACTCTCGCCGACCTTGCACACGGTCCAGGGTTCGACCCCTGCAGACGCACACCTGATATCTATGGTCGGCCTGCAAAATCTGGGCTACCGATATAATA